TATATATATATATATATATATATATATATATATATATATATATATGTATAAGGATGCACACAATACGAATGTCGTGTTAATATCTTGCAGAAGAGGAAGGAAAAGAAAAAGAGGAGAAAGGCGTGGAAGAAGAAGAAGACGTGGAGCCTACCGCCAAGATGCTTTGTCACGTGACACGGCAGTTGCAACAAATAATTACATTTTATAAATATGTCGAGTCTCAACTTGACGTGCCATCCGAGTGCGATATTGCAACAGTAGGTGACGCAACGAATGCTAAAAATTTATCTTTGACTTTATTAACTTCGGAACGAGAAGTAAATCGTGTTACCAAATTGGCTAAAATGTTGAGCAACTTCAGAGGTGGTGACGTTTCGGCGGAAACTAGAGTGAAATTTAAGGATGAAAATACGTTCTTTGATTTTCTATCGTGCTTCGACGTGGGAACATCGAGATTGATTGGGTTACGAAAAGATGTTAAGGAGGATACGTTACACGAGATTTGTAAGTATATATATACTTTTTAATAGTTGATACATGCCATTATCGTGAGATTGTATATCATATATCCTTATAAAATACGATTTATCGCAACTTTTAGCACGATTGATATACCAAAGATGGATGTATTCCGACGACGATATGACGGTGAAATGGCAGCAAGCGGCTAAAGACAGTAACATTCAACCGTTCATCGTCATGCGACTGGCACTAATGTATTGGACGCGCAAGGAAGAAGCCAAGTTTTCGGAACGTGAATTAAAACGCTTTACGCAGCTGCTGCGTGTCATTTGTTTGTTAACCGGTAAATTTTGCTTTTAAGTATCAGGTATTGGTACGTAGTCCCCCGCCACGTTTGATTCATTGAATTTAATTGAAATCAAACAGATGTGGAAGAAATATGTGTCGAATATAACGAGGTTTCTTCATGGTGGAAAAACGTACGCGCTATCCTGACGGAATCTACGAAACCTTTCAACGCGTTTACCGCTGCGTTGGCGTGTAGGGCGACCGCTATGACTCTAGAGAAGTATAAGGAAAGATTGCAAAGTCAGAAACTTGCAAAGTTAGGAAATAATAATGGAAACGAAGAGGAAAAAAACATAAAAAATGGGAACAATGTAACCAAAATAGATGTATCGGAGAATAGTAAGCCGAATGACGTCACGACACCAGACGATGATGAAACGTACAGTTCGATTAGCGAATGGGAAAATGTGAGTAACGATACCTGTCAATTCGCCGTGTTGATCGGGAATCTTGAGGATATCGCTATTTTGAATGCTGTTGTTGGGTACGTATCGCTATATAGGATGTTGTAGGATGCATGTCGTGATACACGTCGTGATTTTTGCTACCGTGATAATGACAAGCCTGATTCTCTAACTCACTCTAGTCAGCGAGTTGTACCAGATGAGACGACACGATTCTTTGCTCTGCCATTCGCGCGAAACGACATTTCTTTAGCATCGATTCTCTCTAGAGGAAGAGGTACGTATTTAAACTCGCGGGGCTCATCCCCTTCGGCGTCTCGGTTTGGCACACTCTATACGCTCCTCTATGTTTTCTTCGCTCTTGTTCGCGCGAGTCAGGTTCGGTGTCTGAACTGGTTGCAAAGTGGCTCGCGACAACGGGTGTCGATCCAGCGCGGTTAATCGACACGACCGACGTGGAATTCGATCAGTTGATGCACGTGTCAATGGTGGAGTCTACACACCTGACCGCTGACGATACGCTGAATGAAGCGACTGCTGTCCAAGTACCTCGACACGAACGAACGAAACTTTTATCTTTATCGGTAGAACGCGGAGACGAGGCGAAAGTTGCGGCGACTGCGGAAGCGTGCGTTTTAGGCAAGACATTTATTGAAGAAACAATGATCCTTTAAAACTTTTAACCATGTACGTTTTGTCGTACATTAATCATCTCTTTCTCGTTTCTTCTCTAGACAATATGGCCCTACTCAAACGCCACTTTCCGTACAGTTTAACGAGCAGCGTTCTATTAGCCAATTTATGCTGGGAGTTTGCCATGTCCTGGGATAAAGATGTCACTCAGTTGGATTCGCTCGCAGCTGCCTTGACCGTTTTACGACAAATACCCATGAAGAATATGAAGCATGGTAAAAATGCACTTCTCTACCATTGCTTTTCAACTCTAGAGCAGCAGACTGCTCTAGACTCTCGAAGTATGTTACATCGTCGTGTAGCGTATTTATTTACGTTTATGCTTCGTCGACAGGCGTCTGCTGTCTGTTGTGGACGCTTCACATAAAGAGAAGGATGGAAGCGACGGCAAAGTTGATGAACAAACTCGGAAAGTTACCAAAGGAGAGATTATGTATGCAAGACATCGGTTTATCTGACATTCAAGTGACTACGTTTTTACAACACTGCGTTACTTTCTTGGATATATTTATCGATGTATGTACGCAAGACGGGTACAGAAAATTACGTATCGTAAATTATTTAAATTTCAACTTTAGTAGTATACGAGTTGATTTACGCTACGTGTAGGCCGAGATACTCGAACGAGGAGATGATGCGGTAATAAAGTCGGAAGAATTGTGGGACGGACACGTCGGTGGACCACAACCGTTTGCCGCGCTGGCTGTCTCCCAAACTCCAGCGTGGTACGACTTGATTTTGTTACACGTGCAAGTGGCTAATGTCCTCTACATGATGGCATGTCTCAACTTGAAAATGTTGAAACCATTAAATAACTTGTTCGAATCCGTGGTAAGTCACACACATAACAAAATACGCGTGATAACGTACGTGTACACGTTCGTGTACAACCAACAACATTGACTCCGTACTCACCGCACAGGTACAGCCCTATCTCTTTCAAGACATAACGGACAAAGCGATGCTCACGTGGTACCGAGACGACAAGAGGGATAATATACGTACAGAATTTTTGTGTAGAGTAATTACAGCGTCAATGGACGTTATTCATCGGGAGACTACTGACGGTGTGACGGTTAGTTCGACACATGCTATCTCGTGGATGAGCAAGTGTCAAACGTTAGCGTCTATCTGGAAAATTAATAATGACGAGTTGAGGATACACCAAGCCTGTCAGCTGTACATAAACGGTTTCGATCGTTTGGCAGAAGAGGTGGATATGTATAACAAATTCATTTATTCACTTCACTTTTGTGCGCTTGCATGCGTGTATGTTAGGGCGAGCGCACGTGCGATATATACAAGCACGCGCACGCGCACACACAACGCATACGATACAGATGCTTACACGTACGCCATGTACTACATAATACGTCTACATAATACGTCTATACTTACATCTATTATATATAATAATATATATGTATACTGTTTAGGTAACTACAGCGGTAACCGATATCGAACGTTTGGCTGCAAACTTATTGCCTATAGCTGGAAGAAGAATGATGGCATATCTCTCAAAAACACCTAATCTTCTGGAAGAAATGTCACGAATGAGTCCAGCACTTACAAGATACTTGGAAAGTCTGGTGAGTATAGGATGCAACGTTCTTATACATATTTATCAAATTTTTTGAGGGATCGTTCCTGACCGTTCACGTTTTCCCAGAACATGCCTGAAATAGTCTGTACAAACTGTTCGAATGCTGACACTGTGGAATTGATTCGACGAGTATCTGTGCATTTATCTAAAATTCACAGTGATTATCATATTATACTGTTAATGTTAGACGCAACATTTATTTATGAAGATAACAACTAACCATGGATTTTGTTAACTATGTCCCGTGATATTATCAAGTGAAAAGCTGAGAGTAAAAGAATTTTATGGAGCCGTACAACGTGTATATTAAATACAACGAAACGAGAACAGGCATAAAGCCAATAACGTGTCTGCTTCTATCAATGGAAAGACATGATATTTGTGCGTAATAATACCGAAAGAAGTTAGTGGTAATCAAGTTGCAAAGTGGTATGCAAAGAATAAATACGACGTGTTACATATTGTTTGGTGTATTACGGACAATTTAATTATTTAATTTTTCCGGAATTACAAGCGCGATCTCGATACAATGTTCCGTATACCTATAAGCTCTCTGTTTCAAGGGGAGCGCGTGCGTATCTGTACACGTAATATTTTACGTTCTGGCATGCTATTATATCACAGGACATTACGTGAACTCACGTTCCAAAGTGCACGTATAATTTATCTGGCATCCTTACACTTATACAAAGAGAATCTGTATGGAGTCCGTGAGTTAAAATTATAAACATTCCACGTACCACGCTGTAATCGAATGTAACATTTCTGTGGAATATACCTATATCCTTATGAGTAATCACCTTTTAAAAGTTTTTATAAGGGATCTATATAATTTATTAAAAATACTAATCAAATATATCTCACCCGAATCGTACGTAAACTGTCGAGGTAAATTAAGATACTGATACGTATTTTATAAAATTGTCGCACAACTGTTCCGGATGTTGTGGAATTTTTTAACGTGTTCTATGCTATATACATGCAAATCAAGTTTGCATTAATATTAGAGTTTAATACAGCATTGAACATACACATTCAATTGTGTGTGTGTGTGTGTGTGTGTGTGTGTGTATGTGTGTGTGTGTGTGCGCGCGCGCTATACTCAGAAACGAATCACAAAACCTTGATATTGCTGCTTTGTAACAGTTTCCCAATTTGTAAACTCGCAATGATGTATCTCACTACCTGGACTGCCCACTGATGTTAACCACTGTGCCCTGGAAATTAGATTTATTACACGTTACATATTAAAGCTATTATAAATGTTGTTTTGCTGATAGTATATAACGTGCCATCGATAAATGATCGCTGCTGAGTCTTTTCGGTTTTTTTTTAAGGGGCTTCCCTAGTGTGACAGGGGCTAAAAATGAATGATTTTTAAAAGGAAAACGACAAAGCCACGTGACGAACAACTTTGTGCACACATATTTTACTATATATTTCAAGAGTGCGTACAAATTTTTTCATAATTTTTTATCTGTTATTAAAGCCCGTGTCAGCCATTTTTTTGGAGCGCCGCGAAAAAACGGTGACCACGATTGCAGCCGTTGTAGTTGACTGAAACAAAAAAGCAAAGGGATTCTTAATCTACTTGAGTGTGTGGCTATCGTCTGAAGCAGAATCATGAAAAAATATTGAAAATTTTAAAAATTATAGCGATTATAATTATTGTCGTCTTTTTTAGCAGACGTTTTTTAGCTATAATTTTTTAAATTTTCAATATTTCTTCATAATTCTGCTTCAGACGATAGCCACACACTCAAGTAGATTAAGAAGCCTTTTGCTTTTTTGTTTCAGTCAACTACAACGGCTGCAATCGCTTGGTCACCGTTTTTCCGCGGCGCTCCAAAAAAATGGCTGGCACGGGCTTTAATAACAGATATAAAATTTTGAAAAAATTTGTACGCACTCTTGAAATATAGTAAAATATGTGAGAAAAGTTGTTCGTCACGTGGCTTTGTCGTTTTCCTTTTAAAAATCATTCATTTTTAGGCCC